GCCTCTTTCAACGTCCAGCGCCATGACTTGCAAAAATAAATGCTCAGTGAAAGTTCTAAAACTCACTTCTCTGCTCATGGTTGGCTCTAGATTGCCTCTGACAGTGTTTCTCAGATTTTGATATGTCTTACTGTGGAGCGGGAGATGAACTTGGTGGTATGTGGATGAATTGCATTTATTTTAAAAATAAGTCATTTAAAGGATTGATGTACCAAAGCCAGACTAGATATAGCATAGAGATGATAGACTCCAGAGCTTTTCTTTTTTGCAGAGATGATGAATTTCCATTTATGATTCTGGTATGCGTTTAAATTTTTTTTAAATAAGCATGATTAAGCTTTTAAAAAGCAAGTTAGTAAAAATTATTTTTGAAATAAGTAAATTTCAGTAGAGGATACAGGCAAAGTTGAGAAAGACCTTGAGGCCAACTGGGAGACAACTGAAGTTTGGATCAATGAATGGCTTTACGAAGTGTATTGTAATTTGGTCCCATTCTACCTTGCCCACTTCTGTTATGTGACTCCATGCATTTTGTTCTCCCTCTCCAGCCATGAAATGAGGGGCTTAAGTACTTAGCTGTATTTTTTTTTTTCACGATGCACATTAAAACAAACATGAAACTATAAAGGTAAAAACATATGCATCCATGGGCTACCTAAAATTATCTCCTACCTCATTTTGGGAAACATCACCGTCGGGAAATTTATCTGGTCTCCTCCACTTGTCTGGGGAAATCCTTAACACGGGGCACTGTGGATCATTGCCAGCAGCATCTCTGGCAATAAGATAGTGCCTGGCACAGAGTGGGCATCATTAAGCATTTGTTCAGAAACGAAAGGACAGTGAGATGCCAACCATAACACTGAGTAGCTGAGGCGCTGGATTGTCAAAGCCACACTGGGTACAGTTCAGAGATGATGGCTCTCAGGGTTTCCCCACATATGGCGAGCGGCAGAGACACGCCACAGAACGTTACCCACAGATGAGCTATCCCCCCATGTGGGGGTTCCAACTAATGAGTTTGGGGGGCAAGTTGAGTTCTTCCCAGCAGAAAGCAGGCAAGTGAAATCTCTCTCTCTCTCTCACTTACTTTTCTCTTTGTGGCCGATGCCATCTGCTAGTTTTAAAAATAATTTTTAAAAGCAAGTGTTTTGGTTCTCTCCAACGTGCAGCAAAGACAGATGCTATTTTTAGGCTTGTTTTCTATCAAAAATCCCCCAAAGAACCAGGGGCTGGGTGTCGGCGGTTCTGGCGTACTGTCTGCATTCTGCCACCAACTTGTATGTGACCTTTCTGCAAATCTCATGTGCCTTGGACCTTGAGAATGGAAGTGATAATTCTACCTCTCTCCACTTCTCATTAGGGATGAGAGTAGTATTAGTCTGAGAAAGGAAAGCCATTTCAAAAACAAATTGGCCAAATGGGATGTGTTGGGGGGTGGCCGTGACCTTCTGATTTCAAGATTTTTTTTTTAAGCACCAAAAGAGGCAAGAAAAGGTTCAGCTTTCTCTGCTGCACCTCTTTTCATAAAGTATATGTTCTATAAAATTTGGATTCAGTCAAAAGGCCACACTTCAGGAACTAGAAGAGCATAAGCGGCCTTAAGGCCACAGGTTCCCCACCCCAACCTGCCAGTTTGTGTATTGATGTATGGTTAGATCTCAATGTTCCTTCTCTTCCCTCTGGACTGGAAGCTCTTTGTGGGGAAGACTAACTATAACTATGTTATGTCCAGCCCAGAACCTTTCATGCAAGATGCACTTACTGCAGGCAGCTTAATGAGAGGTTGCGAGAATGAACTCTGGAACCAAACTGCCAGGGTCCAAATCCTGGCTCTACAGTCTGCCAACCAAGTGACCAGTGGCAAGTTACTTAGCCTTTCTGGACTTCAACTTTCACATCTGTAGAAGGGAAAGAATGATGACACTTGTCACACTGGGTTGTTTAGAGGGATAAGTGAGACAAAACACATAAAAACATTTAGCTGAGTCACATAGTAAGTACCCCAAGGATGCTAACTTAATTTTATTATTGTTGTTATTATTAATATCATTATTAGGCACTCAATACATATCTGACAAATGCACATATGACTGTTATAATAAGCTAAAGTTCAGTACACTGTACAAAAAAGTTTTTTTCAGAAGATTTTTTAAATGGTAAATTAAACATTTGTTTTATGGTCAACATCACTTTAGACACTCTACATAGGTCCTCTGGGTAGGGTACTCTGATAGTTTCTAGTTTGTTCTCTTTCTTTTATTTTCTTTTTTTTTTTAAAGTTGATCATGAACTGCCAGATCGATTTAATGATCAATTAAAGTGTGATACAACTTGAGTTTGAAAAACACTGATGTGGCTGAAATAACCAGGCAGTGTCAACGGGACATCTCATTTTCATCACATTTACGATTGGCAGCACTGTGCATGCCCTTGAGTCACTCTGTTAGAGATGGTTGATTATATTGCCCTCATTTTATAAAGGGAGATATCAAGGATCAGGGATATAAAGTGGTCTTCCAAAGCCCACCCAGCTAGAAAGTTTGGAGCCAAGGCTCCAGTTCCAGCCTTCTGACTGTGTGAATGGTGTCTTGGAGGCCCACTAATTCCTGTCTCTGCGATCACTCATCCATTCATTTAATTAATGTGCATGGATGGCTCTCTTTGGCCAGGCAAGGTGCTGGGCTCTTGGTATACAGTGGGAAATGAATTTGACATGGTTTCTGGCTTTGTGGAACTTTCAGTCTTATCTGGCATGAGTTTGTTTCTTTCAGAGAGAAAATCAAAACCTTTGTATTAGCCTTTGAGGCCTTACATGATCTGAGTCCCTTGTCACCTCTCTGGCCTCATCTCCTGTCTCTTTTCTTCTCACTTCTGCAATCACACTGGTTCCCTAAGGTTCCCAAAGCCCAGCAGATGTGCCGTGGCCATAGGGCCTTTGCACGGACGGTTTCTTCCATCTGATAAGCTCTTGCTCTAGATATCTGCATAGCTGCTTCCGTCAACTCCTCCAAGTCTTTGCTGAAGCATCTCCTTCTCGACAAGACTTATCCTGAACACCTTACGGAAATTAGAACTCCCTTCTCCCATCTCATCCAGCTGGTACTCCCAATCTCCCCCACTTCGCTCTGCTTTTTCTATAGCACTTATTATGTTTTAATGCTCTATGTAATTTGTGTGTCATGTGTAGCACTCATTGTCTTTATCTGTGTCCCCCTTCTAGAATGAAAGATAAAGGCAGGGGATTCGTGTTGGTTTTGTTCACTGCTTTATTCCCAACAACCTATATCTATAGTAGGGTATCTCGTAGGGACATATAAGTATTTTTTGACTTAATTGATGAGTGAATGGATGAAATAAATAGTCATCTAGTTAAATATATAGTTACAAATTATGATATGATTAGAGGGGAAAAAAAACCCACAAGGGTTCACAAAAGACTGTAGCAGGCAGCCCTAATTTAGATTGGGTGGGTTAGAAGTTGCGGTTTCTTTAGGCTAAGAACATGAGAGGGACTTAAGTCCCTACGACTAGTTAATGCAGACTCTGCCATTGCAAACCAAAGGAACATAGCATAAAGGAGTGATTTAACCCAAGCAGAAGTTTCTAAGAAGAGGTGAAGTCATTCATTCATTTAATAAGCACCCTTTGATGGAAGGGGAACAGACAGATCACACGTGGGTGCTGCTCAAGGACCACAGCACACGTCTGTCTCATTTGACCCTAATGCCACCACTGTGGTTCTGTCAGTATCTCCTCTTTACAGATGAGGAAACCCAGATGTTGAGTAACCTCTCCAAAGATACCCATCCAGTAGGAGGCAGAGCTGGTTTTCTCTTTGGCTCCAATGCCTGTGCTCTGTCACCCTCTGGGCACTCACTATTTCTAGTTGTGGTGCCAGGTGCCAGTTGTGGTGCCTCCTCACACAGCCTAGGAGGACATAGCCTCTACTCGAAGGACGTTGCAATATCCCTTAAAAGACGTGTTGAAAAAAATACCCTGAATGGGGCACACATTTATTTTTCTGGCCCCAATTCTTTTACTTCTGGACATGCCCTCCTCAGCTACTGGTTTTCAAAGCTTGATAATTCATGGGGGTTTTTTTTGGTTTTTTTTTTTTTTGTAGCCACTGTTTAGTTATCTTGTTGCTGAGTACCTCAAAACTCAGTGGTTTAAAACAACAGTAAACACTTATTATTTCACAGTTTCTGTGGGTCAGAAAGTTGGGAGTGCTTTACCTAGGCGATTCTGGCTTTGGACCTCAGATGAAGTTGCAACCACGTTGCCAGCGGGGATTGCAGCCATCTGAAGGCTTGTCTTGGGAGGAAGGATCTGTTTCTAAGGTGGTTCACTCGCCTGACTGGAGTTGCTGCTGGCTGTTGGCAGGAGGCCTCGGCTCTTTTCCACAGTGCTACTTGAGCATCCTCATGACATGGCGGCCGGCTTCCGCCAGAGGAGAAGCTGTAAGGTCTTTCGTGACCTCCTCCTGGAAGTCACGTGTTGTTGCTTTTACGCTATCCCATTCGCTACACAAGTAAGTCCTGTTCATTGTGGGAAGGTACTACATAAGAACACAAACACCAAGAGATGAGAAACATCATTAGGGCACCATCATGGAGGTTGGCACTACCTGTAGTATTATTGGCACTATGACCTGTAGTATTATTCACTTAACATTTCCCACTTTTTAAAAAAATTAGCCTTATCCTAAACAATAATATCAATTAAGTCACAAGATTAGTGTGCTAATTATATTTTCTATCCCAAACGAATCTAAACTTGTAGTTATTGATGAAAAACATCATTCCTATGCCACCTATGCTCGCTCATGTACTTCCAGTGGCGCAGATGTTACGCTTGGGGAACCATGGGGCCCAGTGAATGGGGATCTGTCAGGGAGTCCTGGTGGTTTTGATCATCATTCCAGCTATGCCCTGCTCTGCATGTGGAGCCTGAGAAACCACAGGGTGCTGATTTTGCGGTTTGCTCTCCTCTTCCAGGACCGCCTGTACTTTGTGATGGAGTACGTGAACGGGGGTGACCTCATGTACCACATCCAACAAGTTGGCCGGTTTAAAGAGCCTCATGCTGTGTAAGTGAGAACTTGTACTGTGTCCTTGGGATAAATGGGTGGGTTGTTAGTTCTTTTGGGGCTTTTTTGCCAACAAAGGATTTTTAACCATCTCAGGCTCTTCTGTGAGAAATATTTGGCCAAGGGAGAAGGTGTTCTGCTTGATAGGATATGCTTTTATTATTATTATTATTATTTTTCCTGGAACCAGCTAGGAACTTGAAGCTCTAAAACCATAGCTATTTCTTTATCTCTAATTCTTGCCTCTGACTCCTAGGAAAGGCCATATAGCTTCCTTGGGGAATGTCATTGTAGGCTTTGTTTGTTCATTTGCTAATATTTATGGAGAGCTTGTTATAGGCCAGGCTCTAAGCACTCAGCAAACATTGTCTCGTTTAATCCTGAGAATAACCTCTGGGAGGTAGATATCAGCACCTCTGCTTTACAGACAGGGAAACTGAGAGAGACCCAGAGAGTTTTGGAAACTTGCTCAGGATCACAGGGCTAATGCAAGGCTGATCCAGAATTTTGACCCACATTTTTTTGCCCATGTTCTCTGTCTTTTCCACCACTCTCCCTCTTAGATGCCTTCACTCCAGGAGATGATCAGGTTGAATAGTGGTGATGGTTTGTGGTTCCTGGGATAGAAGACTGATTATGGGTTTTGGGAAATATGTATCTTCTACTTTGTCCATTCCATTCCCTTTAGTGCCCAAGGCAGCCAGAGTTTCATCTTTTTAGAACACAAATCTCATCTTAATTACTCTCCTGCTTAGAACCCTGTCATCCAACAGGAACATGGCAAGTCATAGGAATTAGCACTGACAACCTCTCCCTGGGGAGTTTGCTAAGATCTTATTGCCTCTCCAGAGAGCCCCCAGGGCTCAACTAGGGCCCCACCCTGTCATACCGGAGACTTGCTGGCACCTGCCCAGCCCAGCTTGCTTCTCTCCTGCCACCTGCTGAGGCTGTGAGCACCATGTTCCTGTAGGATTTGCGTGATCCTGTGCTTCCAAATCAAGCCATTCATATCTCTTAGCACAATTCTAAGAGGTCTGGCTCTTCTTTTATTTCTAACATCTAATTGACCACAGGCTTTAATCTATTATCACACAGCACATATTGTCAGGACACTGAATATTCCCCCAGGGTTCCCCCAAACCCTGTCCAACCCTTGTGGTATTACCAGGGTTATCTCAAAATCTCTTTCCTTCTGGAGAGGCCTTCATTAAGAGATTACTTTTTAGTCAGATGTTGTTTCTGATCCTGGTTGTGCCGTTCATTAGCTATGTAATTTGCCTAAGTTATTTCATCTCTCTAAGCCTCAGTTTCCTCATTTGAGGAACAGGTAGGTAATAGTAGGACTACCTCACAGGATTATTATTAGGGTTAAATCAGATAATGGCTAAAATGATGCCAAGTGGATGGTAAGACTTCAACAGATGTTAGCTGTTCTTGTTAAGATATTTTGACTTGCTATGGTCTGAAACCATGGTTCCTCACGTAGTCTATGATATCCCATGGCCGCTCCCTCCCCACTACGCAATTGCTGAACCCCTGCCCACCCCCAGTTTGTCCTTAAGGCATCCCTATAACTCTCTAAGCCACACACTGCTAATCCATCCATACTCTCAACATTCTACAAGCCATGTAGCTGACCTCCATGGTGGGACTTTAATGCCCTGTGCCTCGTTCAATATTGTATTGAATTCTGAGAGTTGCCAAGCATATGGTGTCCTTGAATTTCTCCGTCACTTTTTTTTTTTTTTAATTTCAGATTTTACGCTGCAGAAATCGCCATCGGTCTGTTCTTCTTACAGAGCAAGGGCATCATTTACCGGTAAGTGAACACTGCTATACTTTCCATCTCCTCATCTCCCTCAGTTCCTTCCTTCCCTGCCTCTTTCTTCAACTGCTTTTAAAATTAGAATCCGTGGTGGGGGAGGAATCCTCCAGTACTAACTTGGGCATGTGTTCTGCCAGGCAGCACCGCCCACTGCCCTGGCAAAGTTTGGGCAGCTCTATATGATGATAGAAAATCTCCATGGACTGTGTCACCAATGATGGTTTGGAGCCTCAAACATGAGACCATTTGCTGTAAGAAGATGAGGCTCACTATGGGTACCCAGTACTTCTCTCTCTTGCCTGTGGACCCCACATTTGGGGTCCAGCAAAGCATCTCGTCTGGCCGAATGTGATGGATCATGTTATTGTGAAACATTTTTTTTTTTTTTTTGCTATGCAACTACAACTTGGAAATGGATCTCTGAGTAGCTGCCCTGAAATACAGGATTAAGTTCAGGACTTGGCATTTGCTGGTTTTTGGAGGAGCAAGTGGATGATCATAGCTGTATGAGTCATACCATTTTATATTTCATGCAAGGCAGACTATTGAGCCCCAGGCTGCTGTTTGTCAGTGAGTCCGGGGCATGCAGTTCTCCTTGTACCACATGGATGCAGATGGCATTGTCAGTGCAGGCTTGGGCTGGTTTTGTTATGCAAGAGAGGCTGGCAGGGGCATGGGGCTTCCAAACAGTGCTTGGCATGGGTGAGGGGCTATTTAAAAGATCAAGAAGAGGTACAAAAGTCCATTTCATTCATTTGTTTGACAAATATTTATCAAAAGCCTAGTATGTTCTAGGCACTACTGTAGGGTCTGAGGATACAGCAGTGAATACAACAGCCACAAGTGCCTTGTCCTAGTGGAATTTATCTTCTGGTGATGGGAGACAGAGAAGGAAATCATAAAAAATAGAGTCTGTCAAGTAGTGATAAGTTCTATGGGGAAAATCAAGCAGGACATGGGGCTATTGTGTGCAGGGTGCTGGAGATTTGCCTCTCATGTGTAGACAGCATGATGATTAGGGTCTGGAGAGTTAGGGATGAATCAGGAATCCTGGGCCTCTTGCTGCAACTGAAGGATAGATATGCGATGAACAGGCACAAAGAGATCAACCCTGGTAGTTTCAAGGCAGATAGTGGAGGCGAGGCTCTGGGAGCTTGTGGGATGGAGGGATGGGAGGTGCGGGCCTTGTCAGAAGCTTCTAGAGCCCTGGGGCTCTTATTCACTCCTTGAAGTGAGGATATGAGATCTAGTAGGGGAGGGACAATCTTATCCTGAGTACATAGTCCACACCATCCCTGTTTGTCCTGATAATGGAAGGATGAAGGTCAGGAAGAGGAGTGGTTTTACCTGGCACATGGGCAATCCTAGTGAAGGTACTGAAATAAAGAGAAGAATAACAATAATTTAAATTTTAAATAGTATGATCATTCTGCCCATGCTTGCCTCAGTGAACATGTGTCACCGTGTGAGCATGAGATGGAACATGGAAATCCTCTATTTCCCTCATTTTCCCTTTTGACTCTCATAGTGAGAGCATCTTTCTGTGTTGAATGTGATTCTGGTGTTGAAAGGTACACATTATCTTCCGTATGACAATGACTCCTAAATTCAAGCCAATGACTTCGGCTGGTGCTTAACCAGAGAAACAGGGATTGTGGGACATTTCTCACTCTACGTAGTTCTCACCTTGTGTGCTGATGTTAGGACCCAGCTTCTGTGCAGGTTGTGCCACCACTAGACTAGAGCCAACTGGGTTCTTGAGAAGATTAAATAAGGGCCTACAAATTTATTAGAAGAAAATGCAGTCCCATGATAGTAACCAAGAGAGGAAATAATTACAGCTCTGGTCAACTGAGTTGAGATCAAAGGCTAGCTTCCGATCTAGCAGGGAACCAGATTGGGATCTGGGATCCAGGGATCCAGGCCATTGGCCACGGAGATCATAAAACCCAAAGATTAGTATTCCTGGTGCTAAGACGATACCTACTTCAAAACTCTTTCTCCTAAACTAGCTACACATTCTTCCTTTCATGCTTCACTACTAATAAAGTTTTTAAAGGGATATTTACCAATCTTTTAAGCCAATTAGTATGTCAATCTTTTTCCTTTGTGTGTAAGAACAGAGTCTGTCTCCTACTATAAAGATTGAAAATGCCGGATGCTTTCACAACCTCCCCATAGCAAGGGCAGGCACACGACCCAAGCACTGACATTCGGTCATAGTCACTCAAGACCTTGACTTAGAAACTAGTGGGAAAGGAGGCAGAGACCATAGAATCAAGAGTGGCCACAGTAATCAGAAACAGCCAGTGTCTAGAGGCAAGAGAAGAAGAGATTCTTAGCGGCAATGGACAGTCCAGCATTACGGCTTCCTGGAGCAGAGGGGGTGGTGTCTGTGTCCAGTGGTGGCTCTGGCGGTGTCTTCACTGGACCAGCTCCACATTCCTGGCTGTGTAGTCTCCTAATCTGGTTCTTCAGCCTTCCACAGAGATTCTGTGAGCTCCCCAATATCCTTTTATACATTCCTTTTCAGGTTAAAAATCATCAGAGTTGGTTTTTATTCCCTACCATCAAGAATCTTGATTGAGACAGAGTTCTTGGAATTGATAACCAAATGAAAATTTTTAAAAAATTATGTGACAAAAGATGCATGGTTTTATACCTTCATAGAGATTGCCTTCGTGGTGGTAAAGTCTTTTAAAGTGTTACAAATCACTCCCTCCTTCATTTATAGCTCTAGTTCATTGAACAGTTCTTAAGTAAAGAGAATGAGGAATTATATTAGACTTAAACCCTCTTTGAGGATCACAGCTGGAGATGTTGGGTAGGTGGGTGGGACAAAAGATGCTTCCTGTCAAACTTAGTGTCTGATCTATTGATCACTATCTCTAAAATATGTGTTGATTTTGCCCTTGATAGATTTCTGTAAATGAGAGCTATTGCTGTAGCCCCCTTTTGAAGCAGAAATGAGGATTTATTACATAGAACAAAAGAAGGCAGTAGAATATCAAAAGAGTACTAGTGACAGTGAATAGGATGAGAGTGTCTTCCAGTTCCAAGACCTGCTGGTTCTTGGCACCTGAAACTCCTTTTCTATAACAGATGGAGATTTTATCCCTCCCCTGGTTGACATAGTTTCTGGACATGTGGTCAAGCTAGGGTGGGGGATGTGTCACTATTAATGAAATCACATGTAGACCTAGTATGTTTAGGTGGAGCAAGTTATTGCAAAGTTCAGTTTCTCTAAGTTCCAACCTAGCATTCAGAGACTGCTGTGATTTGTAGATAAGAATGAAGGCTGGATATAAGTAGTACCATGGACAGCGCCAAATTTATTATAATAGCGGAATGTTGCTATTGGCAAACAGTGGGTGCAAGTGGACCCTAGGATGAAAAGACCCTATAGACATGGATAGGACATGCCAGGATATATTTCATTCTTTTAGTTGGCAATGATGACAGCAACTCAATTCAGCCTATCTTAAATTAAAAGAGACATTTATTGGCTGATGTCACTTAAAAGTCCAGGGGCAGATCTGACTTTAGCCCTGGATAAATGCAGGGGCTCAAATGATGTTATGAGAGCCCACTTTATCACTCTCCCTCTAGGTTCTCCTTTATCTATATTAGTTTTCTTCTCTCCATTTGGTGACTCTTGGAGCTTCTAGACTCACATTCTACCACCTGAGCAATCCCAATGGAAAAAGCACTCATCTCTCTTCTGATGGTACCAACTAAAATACCAGGGCTGATACAATGATTTTGATTGGCCCAGATTGGGTCACATGGCTATTCTGAAACTGGAACTGTGACCAGCAGGATGCAGTATTTCCACTGGCCAGGACAGGCCCACATGACCACTTGGGGAGCCAGCACCACCCACACTACATGGCTTGAGAACTGGGGGAAGGGTGTTTCTTCAAAGGAATATTAGGATGCTCTCATCACAAGATGCTAGAATAGGCAGAAACCACAGATGTCCACCACCCACTCAAAATGATTTAAGGGAGAGATGTGAATTGAACAGTAGTTCCCCTTACTTCTCAGGAAGCTGGACTTCCCCATCTTCTATTAGGACTAGGACAATCTGACCCATAGATCAGCCCTACTGACTGGGGCTAAAGCACAAGTTGCTGACATTGGAGTAGGTATTTAGAAGGTAAAGCGTGTTGATACTGGAGCAATCCTGTATGCTGGAGACATACAAGCATTCCCCAGAATATCAAGCTTCCCTCATCAACGCAGATGGAAATAAAAGAATGCAAGTAGAGCACACATCCTTTAGGTTAAAGCTAAACATCACCACTTAGCTCCTCCCCAACACCCTGTTTATAGTTACCTTCCCCAATTACTGCCTCATTGTCATTTTTAGTTTCTTTGCATAGATCTGAATCTATAATAATCATGCTTATAGATTTGAATACTTGTGAATTATCTTTTTCCCTCCACTGGAATTTAATCAGAAGAGCAGGAAGCTTGTTCATCTTGTTCACAGCTATATATCCAGCTCCAGGCATCATAGTGCTTGTCACATAGTAAGCGTGCAACAAATATTTTTTGATTGAAAGAATCAGTGGAAATTCCTGGGTCATGTCCCAGGAAGTGGCCCAGGAGATCTTGGTGGAGTTAAATAAGTTCCTCTCAATCAGTTTTTTTTCTTTGTGATCTCCAGAGATAGCTAAAAAATAATAATTTGGTGGAAAAATAGATCTTCCTACAAAATATAAGGGGTATTTAAGTTACAAAGGGCGATTCTTAAAATTCTCCTGGATACAAGAAGCCTCTGTGGAAACTCTGCCCTTTGTTTAGCTTTCTGTGGATCTCCCCATTCTCAGAGCCACTGTCTCCTTGTGTCCTCACGAGACACTTGGCACAGTTGGCTCTGTAGGAAAAGAAAGAAAAGGAAAAGCACAGAGGTTGGTGGGCCTCTTTTTATCTCCCTGCCAGACTGTCAGGCATTGGAGGGCAGGGCCGATTTATACTCACCTTCCTGCCCCACAATACCTAGCACAGGGTTTTATGCATAATGACTGGCTATTCGTTGTTGCCTTGAAATAAATAGCATTTATTTAAGTCTCTAAATTCTTGTGTCTGCCACAGTGATCTAAAACTTGACAACGTGATGCTGGATTCTGAGGGGCACATCAAGATTGCTGATTTTGGCATGTGTAAGGAGAATATCTGGGATGGGGTGACAACTAAGACATTCTGTGGCACTCCAGACTACATCGCCCCTGAGGTGAGAGCTGCTGGGACCCGCATGCACATCCCTGTTGCAGGGACGTCCCCTCTGCTCCCCAGACAGCCATGCAACAGCCAGAAAGGGTCAAGGGTGGTACCTTGCAAGGGAACCTCGGGCTGGTCCTTCTCCTACACTCTAAATCGTTCCTTTGAGATCACACATGCAAATCAACTTAGCACACATCCAGAAGCTCAGGCCCAAAATACATCAAGGTTTGGGAGAAAATTTAAATAAAACTCAAAAGAACCATCCAACACACATCAGTACAATTCTTTGTCAAGCTGCCATGGCTCATGGCCATATGATACCTTATAATTATGACATTGAAATGTTTGTTGAGAGAGGGAGAGAGACAGAGAGAGAGAGAACAGATCTCCTGGGCTGACATATGACACAGGGTCTGTGTACTATGTATGTCCCTCAATAGGAAAGTGGACAATAGCCTATGATTTGTTTATAGCATGAAATACTACCAGGCATTGATTCAGAAGAGTGAGTTAGATTACATATGTAGATATGGAAAGATCTTCAAGACATATTGTTAAGGGAAAAAATACCAAGGCACAGAATGGTAAACACAGTATGATACCATTTACGGACAGCAACAACAGTACACAGAACACTGCTATGTGTTTTCTATGAGTATGTACATATGCATGTAAAAGTATACAAAATCTGGAAGCCTACAGACTGATTTTATAACATTAGTTACCTCTGTGGGTAAGAACATGGTAAAGGGAAATTTAGCTCCTTGTGTATACTGTTTACATTTTTTACAAGGTAAATGTATTTGTGTATTTTATACACTACTCTTATTACTCGAGTAATAAGAAAGTAATCCTTTTTTTAAAAAAAAAAGTATTCCTTTATGAGAGCCCAGTGGAGTTTTCCATATGTGGCGTAGTTTGATCTATTATTATTTTGTTAATTAATTAGCACATCAGACACAATCTATAGCACAGTGCTCTGCTAGGCTATGAGTTCAGGAATCTCTGACTCTCAACTCTAGTTGCACTTTAGAGTCACAAGGGAGCTTTTCAAGTGTAGGATGCCCAGGCTTCACTCCAGATCAATTGAATGATTCTAATGCAGGATGGGACCCAGGTTCTTCTGTTTTCAAAAGTCCCTCATTGGTCATGATTCAGGCAAGTACAAAATGCCCTGAGTTTTGTTGCCGGTGGAGTTGCCTCCTTCTCCACCCCACCATGGGAGGAATAAACCGAGGGGCTGGCTTTGTCTTGAGCTAACCACATCACCTCTAGCAACTTCTCTCACCTCCCAGGCTCTACTCTGCTTTGTAAAAGGATTAATTCATTGAGCCATCCTAAGGCTCAGATAAGACATGGAGTACTTTAAAAGTGAGAACACACTTTCAATAAGAAGTGTTCTCCTGGAAAGCTTTCCCTTCTGTATCTGGTGGTCACTTCTCCTCAGAGTGCATTTCATTCATTCATTCATTCATTCATTCATTTATAATTGACCCAAATAATTGTATACATTTATCATGTACATGTTGTTTTGAAATATGTGTACATTGTGAATGGCTAAATCAAGTTAATTAACATATACATTACCTCACATACTTATTTTTTGTGGTAAGAACACTTAAAATCTTGCTTAGCAATTTTAAAGAATATAATACATCATTAATAACTACAGTCGTCATGTTGTACAACAGATCTCTTGAATTGATTCCTCCTGTCTGACTGAAATTTAGTATCCTTTGACCAACATCTCTGCATTTCTGATTGTGGAGTGGAAACCAGAGTTGGAGACAGAGATTAAGAAGCAGACATTCACTTTGTAGCCAAGTTTGCTCCAACACCTTTATTGAGGGATAAAAAGCAATTTGAGGGAATTTATTGAGGGAATAAAAAGCAATAACTGAATTAGAGAACATTCCAGTAATAGCTAATATTTTGAAGGTACAATATGTGAGAGCCAACTAGTATCTCGTTCATCATCACAAAACCCTATGGCATAGATATTATGATAAACTTCTTTTTGTAGATAAGGAAACTGAAGCTTAAAGAAGCTAAGTAACTTCCCTCATGGTCACACAACTGGCGCATAGGAGTCAGACTGTCTGACCCTCAAACCTTAGCCTTTAACCTTTGCCATAGTACCTCTTAACCTTTGACATGGTTAGTTTTACACCCTTACATACTAAAAGATGGACAGACACATGACTATTCTAGACTTTGCCATCCTCTGGCAATTTGGTGATATGTGTCAAAAATCTTACAACTATATATTTATCATTTGATCCATGAATTCTACTTCTAGGAACTTATCTTAAGGAAATAATTAGACAGATGTCCAACTATCTAATTATAAGGATATGTGTTGCAGCATCTTATCAATTCCTAATCAATTGGGAATTGATAAGATCGATTTTGGTATATCCACTCAATGGAATTCTGTGCAGAAGGAAAAACCGATTATGTTGATGTACAAATATTACCAAAGAAAATTTAATAACATACTTTATTAAAAGTCCATATACTAAAGTGTTTGTGTGTGTGTTTAAACACACACATATACACAGAGTTTAATGTGAATTCATAGAAAAGAGTCTAGAAGAAAATAAACCAAATATTAGTCATAATTATTCTCCTGATAAAGGATTATGGGTGATTTTCATTTTATTCTCTTTGTTTATCTATGTTTTTTAAATAAGCAGTAATATAGTAACAGATGTTTTTACCCTTATAAGCTTTTTGTTCTTAATTGCGGTTTAAAAGTCACATAAAATTTACTATTTTAACTATTTCTAAGTGTACAGTTCAGTAGTGTTAAGCATTTCACATTATTGTGTAAATGTTATTACTTTTACAATGAGAAGTAATGATAGCATTTCCTCTTAAAAATGCCGCACTCAGTGTTTTGAAATTTAAAGAAACTAACACACCAAACTCAGTGCTTCAGAAAGGCCATGTGACATCACAGGTGTTTGCCTGGCTACAGGCAGTTACCTCTGGCATTCCCTTGAGTAGCTAATGCAAAGAAATAGCTCAGGAGGGCACTACACATCCTGTCCACCCTTTGAGACGCTGGCCGGCATCTAGTTCTGCCACAGCCACTATAATCTTTCACAACAGACAAGCAACTCATGCCAAACAACCCCCCTTCTACCACCTCACCCAGGGAAGGTCCACTCCTCTTGTAGAAGAAATACAGATTCAGTCTCAAGCCATCACACTCGAACTGCCAGCCTCTCTGAAGGGCTACCTTCTGTTTTGCAGATAATTGCTTATCAGCCCTATGGGAAGTCCGTGGACTGGTGGGCATTTGGAGTCCTGCTGTATGAAATGTTGGCTGGGCAGGTAATTGAATTTTAAGTGATCTGTAAGAAAAGTCCTCCCCCACATGATGTCTTTAGAAGAACGTGTCAGCTTGGTGAGAGCTTGTAATTCTGAGCCTCTGTGACTTTTTTGGCTTTGGGCGTATCCAAGTCTGTTGGCCATTATTCCTCATCTTCTCCTGGAAAGCCCTGGAGTGTGGCCTCACTGTGGACCCCAGGGAGGAGGGTCTGCCGGTTGGGAGCTGCTTGGGTGGGGACTTGGGGAGGGCTCAGGCAGGGATCCTTCTCCCCCCACCCTACCCTGTTCCACAGGCACCCTTTGAAGGGGAAGATGAGGATGAACTCTTCCAGTCTATCATGGAGCACAATGTGGCTTATCCGAAGTCCATGTCCAAGGAGGCTGTGGCCATCTGCAAAGGGGTAAGTCTCTGAAAGCTCGTGGCCACCACATACTGGGGTGCAGCTTGTGCCCTGCACAGGGACGCCCCACCAGGGAGAACAGAGACAGAACTCCATTTGCCAACGCAAGGGCCCTGGGATGGAGCTGCTACCTCCTGGAAGAAGGACAGCTTTTTTTCTAATTTGTACAGAAGCACCGCAGAGGCCTGCCTGCTATGGCATCTTGCTGCTGGCAGGACTCCAGCGTCTAGCCCAGCACAGGGCAGGGCTTGGGGAATGAATGAGGAAGAGATCACAGAGACTTCGTCAAAGGGCTGGAACCCATGGGAAGGGGCACAAGAGGTCTTTGGCACAATTTGGGCCACCTTGCCCTGCTCTGCCACGAATATATTTAGTTAATACTAAGAGTGGGTGACTTTTGTTCTAAGAAAATGTCAGGCAGTATTGAATGAAAGGAATTCTCTAGATAAGCTGACTCAAACGCAGTGTCTCCAAAGCCCCGGCCTCCTCCCACCACCAACATACACACAAATGGCTGTAAGGGCGTGCACATTTATACGCCTGCTGTTTATGCAAATTGTGCCTGTAAAGAAAGCAGGGCATATGTTTACCGGTAAGGATTGTTATGCCTATTGCGTTGGGCAGGAATGCTTACGGTGACCTGTGTGAGACCCTCCAGATCAGTGGTCCTCACCTCTGGAGCCATCAGGGTGACCTGAAGTGCTCGGCTTCATCCCAGAAATTAAGTCTGGGCATCAGTATTTGTCCCATGTGTCTTGCAAATCACTACCTTTAAGCATATTGTCCAAAGGAAGTAATTTTTCGACTCTGAGGGAAGTGTGAAAGCAATGTCCCAGAGAATATGGTGCAAGGATGGTGCCTTTATAAGGCATTTGCTCTCCCTCCAACCAGGGGTGCAGGCGAGTTCTCGAAGTTAGAACCTGGCTGGCCTTAACGGTAGGCTCCCACCTGTGGGTTTTAACCAACCAGGGCTGCCAGGCCTAGATCTGTGGGGTGTTTGCAAATTTCCCATGCCCTACGTGGCCCTAGTCTTCCTAACCTCACTCAAGATGCCATATGAGCTGGCTTGGGGTAAAGAAAAGCTGGAACACTCAGACAGACCAGCCTGTGGCTTGGCTCAGTTTGTAATAGCTGGGCCAATTTCTCAGCCTAAAAGCACCTCGTTGCACTGCCTAAATTCCCACTCTCAGTGAATCACCTAAGCTTTGTGTCTCAGCTACATAGGCTAAGATACAAATACCCCTGGGAAAACCACGTGTGAATAAGTGAATCACCTAAGCTTTGTGTCTCAGCTACATAGGTTAAGATGCAAATCTTCTTGGGAAAACCACGTGTGAATTAGTCTCCATCCCTGACATCTTAAGTGAATTGCTTGGAAATATTTTCTTTGAGGGTGTGAAGCAGGGAGAGAAAAAAATGAGGATCAGAGAGTGGAGACCCAGAAGTTCATTAGGAGCTTAGGCAAAGCCCGCAGGAAAAAAAAGAGCACAGACCGAGACCCGTGCAGACTGCTGTGGACATTCTATTGAAGGAGGGGGCAGTTGCAAGAAGAGTCACACACTGAGCTTTTGGTTTGTTTAATCATTGCCAGCATGTAAAGATCAGGGGATTTCCCATAAACATTCAGCTTTCCAGTCCCTATTGAAAAATTAGATCTTTGCCACATTGGCCTGTCATTTCTGCAAAGTGTCAGTCAACTGGATTGAAACCACTGCCCTCTTTAATTTGCGGAAATCCCTGTCTGTTTCCATTCCATCTGGGATCAAATCCTTGTCCAGGTATTCTTAGGAAGTTGACCTCATCTGCAGATTGGGGATAATAATAGCACCACGTGGAGAGGTCTTGGATGATTAAATGAGTGAATATCTGTAAGTCACTTAGGAAAGACCTTGACACTCCACTTCCAAACCCTCGGAGGTTACTCTTACTGTTGCGAATGCTGGCCCTACAGCACCACGTGCCACGCTCCTCTTGGCATTTGAGTTTGCATCCCCTGCAACAGGAACTTGTAAAGTGGGGAATTGGGGAGATCAAGAGACCCTTTGCAAACCCCAACCCTTCCGCTTCCCAGGTACAGAGTCTTAAGCAAGTTTCTTTGTATCTCCAGGCTTCTGCTTCTTTATTTTAAAAATAATAATGACAATACTCACGGAACAGTATTTATATACTCATTTTTGAGAGCAGAAAATGAGCTCTTTGCATGGTGTTGGCACACAGTAGGTGTTCAATACATGCTCAGAGTCTTCCCCTTCCCCTGCCCTGCCTGGACAGCTGGGGCTTGTAAGTGGGTCGTGGAGGAGAGAGGGTTTTCCAGGTCAGCTGCATTCAGCTTCAGCTCCAATTAGCAGTTTCCCTGGAAGAGCAGTTTCCTATTAATTCAGGACCCATAACCTTCAGGATTAACTGGGGTGACTTCCTTACTTTGGGGTTTGGGGGCCTTTTTGAGTTGAGTGGGCTGAATCCAGTGTGGGTTCTTTCTTTAAGGACGATGCCCCAAAGAAGGGTGATGCCGAAGAGAACAGCCGCACGCCTCCTCCTGAACAGCGGGCCCCAGGGGCTGCGTCTGGGAGGTGACCAGAGATTGGAACAGTGATTAAATCCAGCTGTCTACATGGCTTCAGGCACATCAGAGCAGAGTGCAGGAACTGGGCAGAGACTCCGAATTAGTGCTGGATGTTTCTGCAGTGGCTTTTCTTTGCTTGGCATCCTCTTGCTCAGACAGAAATTGAGCGAGACTTTTGAAAACAGTTGCCTTTCAATTGAAGCGGCGCCCTTTGTATGCCCATTAAAGACCCCATTTTCTACCATTAAAAAAAAAAATTAAACTTTGTTCAGATTGCCATTCCCACTTTGAACAAGCTCAAAGTAGACAGAAGCCCAAAGTGTCTGCACATTAGAGTGAAATCAACAGGGACCGAATAGCACAGAACTACAAGAGTTCGGGGTCCGGCAGATCCATTCAAAGCCTGGCTCCGCTCCTTAGCTGTGTGACATTAGACAAATGACTTTACTTCTCTGGGCCCAGATTTTTTATCTGGAAAATTAGCGTGATAATTGCTGAGGCCTCAGAGTATTGCTGTGAAGATTAAAGAGGAATGGGTGATGGCTGGGAAGCCTTTAACACAGAGCCTGACCACATGTGATCTCTCAATACTCAGTATACAGAAGCCATTACTGATACTATTGTCTGTGCTAACCAAGGCCTCATTGCCCTGTCTGTCTTTCCATCGTCTTCCTACACAAATGTCAAGGCTTGGCCACAAATATCCCTGGGGAAACCACATGGGAAGTACACTCACATTTCTTGGGCTTTCTCTCAAAAACCCAAGTTTTGGAGTTAGACAGAGGTGGGATCCATTCCCAGCTCTTACTATCTCTGCCACTTACCATCCTAGTGAGTCCTTGTAGCTGTTTAGCCTCTCTGAGTGTCCACTGCCTTTGCATTCAAACAGGAGAAATAACATACTCACGTAATTGGGTCAGATCATGCATGCAAATAGAGAAGTAGCTTAGAACCTAAGCGCCCAGTTAGTTTTCCCCGTGGAAGATAAAGCATATATGGCCAGTAGGTGCTTGTGTGTGTGACCACAGATTATCTTGTAAGCAGGAAATAGGCTGAACTGAATATCCAACCATGTAGGTGTGAATTTCTGGGTTCATTCCTCCCCATAATCAGCAAGTCCTGGGCAAAAAGCCAAGGATTCTAATGTCATGGCCTACTTGATGTCAAGTCAACTCTGGGAAGCTTCTTGGACTTGTGTGTTGTTGTTGGTTTTTTTTCTTTTTTTTTTTAACCACCAACTCCTCCGTCTTTACTCTCTGTGCATTTGTTGAAGTCTTGAGATCAGAGATATTTTCACGCTGCTTTGGATTCATTTACAAGAGGAAGCCTGTCTGGTTTCATCTCGGAGCATCTATTCATCTTGTTATTTAGCAGTGGCTCAGAGACCCAAAGATGGAAGGTTTTGATAATTAAGTAATTTAAACGGAACACCAAAGAAACCTCAGTGGAGTTTAGTGTAATGTGTGATACAAGGGAAATGAGCTAGGCTAGGTTTTGACTATTTAATGAGCTTTCAGAAAGTAATTACTTGAAACTTGGGCCCATTTGACTAATATTTTTTCTTCTGTTGTGTCATTTTTGCAAGCGCTTTACTGAGAAATGCAAATAGCATATGACTGAATGTGGCTTTTGCCTTGGTCAAACTCCAGTTTTCTCATGATAGGAGACAGGGAGTTTGAAGATATTAAAATTAATTTTCAGTTAGTTTTAAATGCACCAATAATTGCATAAAACTCATTCTTGAACCCAAATGGATCACGTGGCATTTCTAACTTGAAGTTCAGGGGCCACGTTCAGGCTTTGGTTCCATCAACCATAAGGGACCCCCCTCCCCTAGCAGTAGGCACTGTTGTCAGGTTATCTGCTGCAGAGTCCTGGCTGTGATTTGTTGCAGGGAGAAAAAGCAAAAAATAATGATTCGTTGAGATTCTTCATTGTGTTTCCTTCCCTAATTCATTGGAGTAATAATTTCTGAGCATGTCTCATTTCCTCTTCTGAAACTTGTTCCATTCAACGCTCTTCTTTCTCTTGAAGCTGATGACCAAACACCCAGGCAAACGTCTGGGTTGTGGGCCTGAAGGTGAACGTGACATCAAAGAACACGCATTTTTCCGGTATATCGATTGGGAGAAACTTGAACGCAAAGAGATTCAGCCCCCGTATAAGCCAAAAGCTGTAAGTAAACTGTTCTCTCTGACTGTCGGGTACTTGTACACATATCCTTTCCCGAGCCCGCTGTGTGTGCTTGGAATACTCTCTGGGCGGTAGACGTCAATGTTTCTACTTGAACATGGCTGTACGGGCTCACATTAACGCACAAAGTCACCGGGTACAAAAATGGAGATTTCCATTCGCACAGCCCGGCCTCTATAAATACAGAAAAGACAATTGATATTGAGTTTTTGTTTTATTGATTCAATTATTGTAACTCTCTTAGCTGACAACTTTTGGGGAATGGTTCTTTGGTGAGCAGGGTTCAGATCCATTTTTGGACTGTGATAAAGAATCTAATTTTGCCCTCCTCCTTTCCTTGGTTCAACTGTGTCATTTTCTCTTCATACTGACATTGAAAAGGTCATGTTGTTTATCTCAACAGTATTTAAATTTAATTCTGAAACATACACTACATCTGAGTCAGTAAATAAGACAGCAGTTGGCCAGCCAGCTCCCACCCAAGGCAAAACGGAACGAAGCAGAGGCTGACATGCTCTTAAACTGCAGACCTCTTGCAGGCTTTAGGTGTAGATATGGCTTTGAAATAACTTTTGTAATGCAAGAATAAACATCCCACATTCCCCACAGTCCGTGTGCCCATGGGAGGGTTTGCTATCCCCAAAGACTCAGCAGAGAGTACTTGTCAGCGTTGGGGTGCAGGAGTTTGCGCCTGAATTAATCAGAGCTGTGATTCTGCTGGGAGGATATTTGTTTGTTAAATTAAGTAGAGGGCAGACCTGGTGACTTGATTATGAGTCTCGAAACAACCGACTGAGGCTGAAAAGTGAACATAAACATTATCACTGAAACCTAAAGTTGTAAGGGGCTCTGTGTTAAGATGAAGATGATGATAATGGTAGTTATTTTGATCCTATTATTGTTATTAATTTCTTGAGCAGTGATGTGCCAGGCACCACATTAAGCACTTCACACACAGCATCTAATTAAATCCTCACAACAGCCTGTGAATGCAGGTGCTATAATATTATTTCACGTTATGGAAGAGGAAATGGAGGCTCAGAGAGGTTAAGTGCTCTGTCCATGGTCATTTAGCCATCATGTGATGAAAGTGAGGTTCCAAGCCTCAGGCAGTCTGACTGTACTCGACGCCACCAGAATCCCCAGGGGCAAAGGGCATGGAGTTTAAGAAAGTCCTGCAGGTGACATCTCCATAGTGCTGCACCTTTCTCTTATTCCAGATGGTTAGACTCTCAGCTCTACAACATCCTTGATGAGCCCTGTTTCTCTCTGGATTCCCTTTGGTGTTGGGAAGCAGGTCCATTAGAGACAGCCAGTCCCACTTTGTGGCCCTTCTAATTGTTGCCAGCTTATATATTGATATCAAATCAGCCTCCCCAGAACTGCTACTAGAGTCTCTCTCTATATAGAGAGCACCCTTCACATTTGCAGATGCTGGGTTGAACTCTAGAACCCTGCAATTTCCAGGTTAAATCCCTCCCGCCCCTTCCTGCAAGCATGTCCCGTATGACATCCCTTTGAGGCGCTCCTTGTTCTCCAGAACATCTACATCCATCTCAAAATACAGACACAGGATTGAGCATAATATTCCTGACAGTGCCGGACCCTCAGTGAATGCAGAGAGTCAGTCTCTCGATTATTCTAGAGCTGGTGAATTTGGACTAGTCAGTTTTCCTCTCTGATCCACTGTTTTGTCATCTACAATACAATGATGATAGTAGTGCCAACATCAGAAGATCATTATGATGCATAATGTGCTCAGTACATGCCTGGTATATAATAGGCCTCAGGGAGACTTGATCATTGTTTTTGTTAGTGGTGTCATATGTTAATTAACGTCTCAGGTGCAGGGTCTTTGAGGGGTAGAACAGTGCCATGTCCTGCTGAAGCCATTCCTTAAGATAATGTCTATATGAACACTGGGGATTGGGGCGGGCCGTGCATGTCATAGGCAGTGTTACCAATTTCCTTGGGCCATTTGAGAAAAGATCGAAAGGTAACCTAGATGCAAAGAGTGGGCTTTCTGTTCAGGAAACTGGGAACTTGAAGGTGGAACACACAACTCATTGGGTTTTTTTGTGGGGCTATTGATGAGGTCTCAAAACATGAACCCTTCCTTTTTCCACTGGACCAGAGGAAGGATGCAAAATGTTCCCGTCTCTACCAGCATGGAACCCAGTGGGCACGTGGGGTTCATTCTATGGTTGTAGAGCAGCGGTTTTCAGAGTGTGGTCCTCAGGCCAGCAGTATGAATATCACCTGGGAACTTCGGGAATGAAGTTCTTGAACCCCACTCCAGACCTCTGGAATCAAAAACTCAGGGGCTGGGGCCCAGTGTTCTGTGTTTAACAAGCCCTCCAGGTGACCTGATGTGTGCTCAAGGTTGAGAATTGCTGCTGTGGAGTTTAGGGTTAAAAGCTCAGGAAGGGAAGCTAGACAGAAGTTGGAGGGAGGTAGCATCTCTGTAAGTGGGAGACACTGGTTCTCTTTCTGGTCAGGGCGTGGGGTGGTGGCTTCTGGAACAGGTCGCAGCCTCAGGTGCCTACAGTGGCCAGGTAGGTAATGTGGGTGAGAGAAAAGGGCTGGAGAGGTGGAAGAGAGACAGAGACAGCCTGCAGAGCAGGTGGCTACTAACAGGCTCAGCTGGTACCCACCTCTAGCGGGCCCGCCCTGCAGGAAGCAGCCTCATCATGGTTCCATCTTCATGGTTTTCATGAGAAATCAGGATATTTAGGTGAAATCTCACTGTTTTTTTATATATCAGTAACAAAATTTTTAAAAAATTGAACACAGTTCAGGGCAAATAAAACATATCCATGACCCACATGTGGCTGGTGAACTGTTAGTTTGTAACCTCTAGGGGAGTGATGAGTGAGTCAAAGTCAGGTTGACATTTAGCCAGTTCCCCTTAGTACTGGTTATTTACAACCGACATCCATTCTGAATGGTTAAATATTTTGAATATGCCTGCTAAGCAGTAATAAACATAAAAGGTCTGGCTCATAGAGAAAGTGCTCAGGTAAAAGTAGTTTGTTATCATTGATAATATAAAAATATCACAATAATTAATTATCAACAAGCAGCTTCAACTCTCCTGCATTTGGTAGGATTTCCAACTGATCAATGTCTTGAATTCCCTCATGTAGGTTTAACAATGACTTTCAAAGTACTGTGACAGGACTGGACTATATACTTCAAGATGTTCTGCCACCAGCTCCAAGAGGAAGCAAGCCCTGCCCCTGATCTCTTTAGACTGAATTAGAAGTAGGAATAAATGATGCACCCCTCTCGCATTTGATTCTACCCACTGGTATGCTTTTAACATTGCAGATTTGAGCGGTAGAGCCCTCCCCCCACCAGCCCACATCCTAGCATTTCATATTTCTCCTTCCCCACCCCTTCTTAGCTGTCTGCCACTCCCGGAAGACCCGTGGCGGGAGTGTGCAGCGTTCCGTGTGCCCTGTGGGGTGTTAGAAGGCATGCATGTACCCGTCACTGTTCCTGATTCATGCATGCTATTAAACAGAGTGTGTCGAGAGAAAAAACAAGGAGCAATAACAGAGGATTATATTCAAACATTAGTGAAGGGTGCTATTATTGGAGGTTCATTAAAATAACTTTAAATGGGTTTTTAAAGTTGCTCTCAGAACCATCTTTTATTGTGGCAAGGAGCTGTTGGGAGAGTATTGTTTGAAACTGTGCTGAAATACACTAGCTTTGGTGTATTGTTGCAGGATACAAGAGAAAAATTTTTAATTGCGCATCTGGTTGTGTCATTCTTTTGCTAAAATTCCCCCAATAGCTCTCTGTTACCCCAGGAGTATCTGTTGCTCCTTGGCACATATGGCTTCCCCTCCACACCCCCCCGCCCCGAGGTCTTCCAAGGCCAGGCCTCTGTACCCTCCCAGCTTTAGCTCCTGCCTCCAAGAACCAGCATTCCTGAGATTCAGATCCTCAAACAGGCAGTGTCTTTTTTGTCCCTTGCTCACTTGTCCCTCCCAGTCATTGAATCCGTAGGCAGTCATCCACTCAGGGAGGCTCTTGTTGATCCCTAAAAGCTGCTACTATTCTATCAGCAAACTCATCACATGTTGTTGTAATTACAGGATCAATATAATGTCTGTCTTTTTGGCTGGACTATTAGATTATGATTTTCTCAGTGTCAAATTCTAATGCCTAGCGTAAGGTTTAGCACATAATAGGTGGTTGAGAGTTTTACTGAATGAATGAATGAATGAATGAATGAATAAATGAATGGCCATAAAATAGGACGCTGTAATACACTGCGCTGTGGAACATAAGGCATTCTTTAGGGATATACATTAGAGTGTGGGGGGGAGGTTTCTTATGTACAGCAGGGTGTCTCAAATAAATTGATTGTTGTGTACGTTACTACCCTATTTATAAAGGGCTATAATTTGGCTGCTGGATTGCAAGCTGTCATGGCATCATGTGGTTGTGCAGTGTGCATTGGGAGAGGATGCTGGTGAAGGATCTGAAGATGCCATGCACAGAATCGTTGGACTTTGGGTAGAGAGGGCTGCAGATCCCTGCGATCTAACCTTGCACAGTCCAGTCCAGTGCTACATGTGCCATGATGTAGCCTCTATATGGAGCATCTTAAACTTTAATGTGCAAACATGAGTCATCTGAGTATCTGGTTAAAATGCAGATTCTGATTCAGCCAGTCCTGGGGTCGAGCCCAAGATTCTGTATTTCTCAGAAGCTCCCAGATGATCCGATGCTGCTGGACCACAGACTCCACTTTGTGTAGCCAGGGCTAGAACACAGTGCTATTGCATGCAGCAGGCCGTGAGTTGACAGGAAGATCCTGTTGTGGTCAGTGTAGTGTGTGCAGGATGTGGATCCTGTGTAGTGAGGACCGTAGTGAAAGGGTGTATAAGAGTGAGTACGGAATGTTCTGGTGGAATGTGGTTCAGGGCACACACGCAGCAGGCTGTTGTGGGTCAGCATGTGGTCGG